TCCTTGTAGCAGCTAGTAGGGAAAGATTGTAAACTCAAAAGTACCCAGTAAAGGGGAAATGGAGGAGGGGCTTTTTCTGAGTTAGGTTAATAAAACTCTTTGTCAAATGGCACACGGTGTGGCTGCCCTTGTCTATGGGGCTGGGCGCCCTATTTTGCAAAATTGAATAAAGAAAACCTCACTCTCAATAAAATGAATACAGATTGGATTACTTGAGCGTTTTTAAGTACAGACAACGTTTCTCACACAGAGTATCTGGTATGTTTGAACCACCAGCCTTGTGGTTAGCAGTCCAGTGCCTAACTCACAGCACCACCAAGCCTCCTTTCATGTTAAATGTGGAAAAACAATTTGGAAAAAGAGGGTGAAAATGGTTGCTCACCTCGCTAATCAGTGTCACTGAATTGTAGAGAAACTGTTGAATCTGTGAATGTTCTGCTGTACGTAATGTATATCTCAACAACAGAAATGAAATTAATTTTTAAAAAATCATATTGGAAAATATTTTTTGAATGATAATGAATGCACTGTATCAAAACCTATGAACTTCAGCTAAAAGTCTGTTAGGAAGAAAATTTATAGCTTTAATACGTCAGCCAAAAGTAAAACTGAAATGATTGAGTTAAGTAAATCATCTCCAATTGTTAGGAAAAGAACATCAACTTAAACGTAAAGAAAGGAGAATAAAAGAAACAATGAAAGAGCATAAAGTAATAGAGAACTTCAAACAAAGATACAATTGGGAGAGGGAAAAAAAGAAAAATTCCATGTTGCTGAGTATAAGTCAGAAAGCAGATCTGACAGCTGTGGACCAATGCTGTCGCAGGGCCGCCAAAGTACCAGGAGGTGGTAGTAGTGGTCATTCTAACTACCAGGGTGGATTTTCTGAGAACGCTCAACTTCCAACCAGGTGGTGAACAAACTCAGCACCAGGTGGGAGCTCAGGCTCAAACTTCCAACCAGGTGGTGAACAAACTCAGCACCAGGTGGGAGCTCAGGCTCAAACTTCCAACCAGGTGGTGAACAAACTCAGCACCAGGTGGGAGCTCAGGCTCAAACTTCCAACCAGGTGGTGAACAAACTCAGCACCAGGTGGGAGCTCAGGCTCAAACTTCCAACCAGGTGGTGAACAAACTCAGCACCAGGTGGGAGTTCAGGCCTTCTGATGCTGCTCCAGTCATTTGGGGGGCCAGTCACGGATACACAGGCCAATGTGAAGGTTCAGAGCTAAGCACACCCTCAATATCAGGGGAGCCACCTTAGAAACCTTGCTTGCTGGAAGCAAAGAGTACTAAAAATCTTACTGATGAAGATCAAAGACCACAACCTTAACTGTGGGTTACACTTCAATGTAAACAAACAAAAATCCTCACTACTAGACAAATAACATCATGATAAATGGAGAACAGATCGAATTTGTCCAAGATTTCATTTTGCTTAGATCAACCATCAACACTCATTCGAGCAGCAGCCAAGAAATTAAAACTCAACATGTTGCATTAGGCAAATCTGCTGCACAAGACCTCTTTAATGTGCTCAAAAGCAAAGATGTCAGTTTGTAGACGAAGGTGTGCCTTGATATTTTCAATAACCTCATATACATGTGAAAGTTGGACAGTGAATAAAGAACACCATAGAAGAATTGATGCATTTGAGTTGTGGTGTTGGAGGAGAATATGAAAAGCTCCATGGACTACCAAAAGAACAAATATATCTGTGTTGGGAGAAGTACAACCAGAGTGCTCCTTGGAAGCCAGGATGGCCAGACTTCGTATCTCATACTTCGGACAAATCAGGAGGGACTAGTCTCTGGAGAAGGACATCATGCTTGGTTAATGGATGGTCAGCAAAAAAGAGGAAGACCACCAACTAGATGGATTGGCATAGTGGCAGCAGCAGTGGACTCAAGTGTATCAACAATTGTAGGGATGGCACAGGACGGGGCAGTGTTTCATTCTGTTGTGCATAGGGTTGCTATGAGTCGATACCAACTCAATGGCACCTAACAACAACACCTCAGAAAGGAAAAACCTGCCCAAGAGGGTGAAGGGGGCAGGCATCCCTTCTCAAAGGTAGGATGCAGGCCTAGCCATATTGCCCTCAGAGCATGGGGGCCCCCCAGACCAAGCCCAGGCCCCCATATGGAAGGGTTCAGCTGGTTTGTGGTCTTGGGAAGCTATTTGACATCGCTGAGGTTGGTGTGTCTATGTTTTGCTTTGTTTTTCTCTTGCGTTTCTTCTCTTGGTCGGAACCAAGTAGGAAAACCTAAAAAGCTGGGGGCACCCTGGCACAAGACCCCTGCTTCACTGCATGTATCTGAATCATTTTGGTATGGGACACAGCCCAGGCTCAAAAACCCTATTTGGTATGTGCTCCAGAAGTCCCAACATCAGGTTTTGGGCAATTGAATCAAATGAGGTCCTTGGGTGGTACAAATGGCTAAGCCTTGGATTACTAACCAAACCCACCGGAGGCACCTTGGAAGAAATGCCTGGAGGTCTGCTCCTGTGACAATTACCCAGAACAACAACAACCAAAGAAACTCTGTCATCAAGTTCATTCCAACTCCTAGGGACCTAGCAGGACACAACAGCGTTTCCAAGGCTGTAAGTCTTCATGGACGCAGACTGCCACTTCTGTCTTCCAAGGAGTAATGGGTGGGTTTGAACCCCTGACCTTTCCGTTAGCAGACAACTTAACCACTATGCCACAACCTTGAAAACACTGTGGAGTCAGTTCTGTCACACGGGGTGGCCATGAATTGGCGCCGACTTGAGGGCAGCGAGTTTGGTTTGTGGTAAGATCAGATGGCAGGACTAACTGCTTGTTGTTGTACCCTGACATTCCTCTCACTCCCACCGTCCTGCACAACTCTCCCACGGGATCCCCAGGCAGCAGGAGGCCTGACCACCCAAACAGGACAGGACAGGCACTTCCCTGTGACCGAATCACTGGCCAGGGTGCCGTGTGGGAAACATTGAGCTGAGGTCTTACAAGGGGATGTGGGTGAGGGTCCCAGGCCTCTAGTGACTGGAAGCTGCTGAGAAATACCCTCCCAGAGGGTAAGCAGAGGTCTCCAGGGCCCTCCCGCCCCACCACCCTGAGTCTCCTCACCACTACTGCCCAGTAAAGATGACCACATTTACTGAGTACCTCGAAAGGTGACAAACCCGGGGTGGCAGCTGAGCCTGGAAACCGAGGGTACAGTAGGGTGAGCGGGGCCTGGATCTACTTCATTGGGTTAAAACTCAGTGCAGACTGAGGCCCATGGGTGGTGATGTGGGTGGGGGGCAGCACTGAGAGGCCCCACTGTTAGCTTCCTTCTTGGATGGCCACAGGGGCTCAAAGGAGGCACTGGGCACCCTCTTTTCTATGAGGCTTTCTGCCTTCCATCCCCAGGCACCCCATCCTCACTGAGACCTCCCCAGAACATTGTGTACTCCTCAGGGAAAGGCCATGCCTGGTGGGAGTCAGTTGTGGCCTGTGTTCAGACTCTAAGGAGAACCGAGCAAAGCTCACCTGGAAGCTAAGAGAACTCGGTGATGATAAACGTGTTTGTTTGCCCGGTTGCACAGGACTGCACCCAGTCAGTCCCTCCCTGCCCACTCCCCACCCCACCCCCAGCCAGGACCCTGGACAAAGGCCAGCAGACTCTGGACAGCGATGTCTTTATTCAGTCAGGACCAGTATGACAGCACCACAGACACAGGGGGCCTGCTGAGACCCCGGTCAGGCAGACGGGACGCGAGGACACAGGCAGAGGCATATCTATGGGAACAGCGCCAATGGCAAGCTCTGGAACTGAGCCCCTGTTCTAACATCTGACCCGTCTTCTCAATAACCACCAAAAAGACGAGCCAGCCTCGTTCATCTTTTACTTCACACATGACGTACAACAGGATGACGACAACCGCACTTCCCTTGTTCCACTGGTGAACACTGTCTCTGATGGGCAGTGTCTGGTCTTCATTCAGCAGAGCAAGCTCACATCACATGGTCTGCGTGGACTCTTCCCAAACCCAAACCACTGCCTCCAGTTCATTCCCACTCACGGCGACATGACAGGACAGAGTAGAACTGTCCCACAGTGTTTCCAAGGCTGCCATCTCTACAGACACAGACGACTCCCTCTTTCTCCTGAGGAGCGGCTGGTGGGCTCAAACCACCGACCTCTCAGTTATCAACCAAGTGCTTATTATAGCATCACCAGGGTTTCTCTTTCTCCTGGGGTGTTGGTGGTGACTGTGTGCCATCAAGTCAGTTCCAACTCATAGCGAAACCGTATAAGGCTGTAAATCTTTAGGGAAGTAGAAAGTCTCATCTTTCTCCCAAAGAGCGGCTGGTAGGTTTGAACTGCTGACCTTGAAGGTGGCAGTCCAACTCAAAACCCACTATGACAAGCGCTACTTCTTTGACCCATGGAGGCTCTCAAATACAAACGAATTCCTTTTAACTCGCTGAATGCTTTCTCACGGCTGGCGACAGATGAATAGAAACAGCTCAGTGGCACCCCCTTCAAATGGCACCCAGGACACGTACTGTACCCGACACACCTTAGCTATACCTCTGGGCACAGGTGCCAGCCTCCAGGCCCTGGGCTAGGCTGGCTGAGGTGACGGGATATCAGGGGACAGGGAAGGGTGGGCCTGTCAGTGTGGACGGTAACACAATTCACATTCTTCCCAAGCTCCAAGTCAGAGACGTTCCAGGGCCGGGCAGCTGAGGGTGGATGCTGAGCTCTTAAGGGTGTGTGTATGTTTGTGCGTCTGTACATGTATGCGTGTGTGTGCACTTGTGTAGGGAGTGGGTACCTAGACTACTTAGCCAATGGAACACAGCTGCAGAGCCCAGGACCTGCCTGGGGCAGAGGGAACCAGGCCAGGGCCTGGGAGAGGGGCAGGGCGGAACCACCCCAGCCCAACTTTGCCTCCATGAGGAGCCTGGTGCAGTCTTGGAGCGAGGCCTCGCACCAGCTGGTGATGGAGCCAAGTGGCTGATTCTCACGTGTAGGCCATCTTACTGCACACCCAGGGCCGTGTCATCAGACACTCAGTTGACACCAGCCGGGTGGGCTCCACAAATACGCACTCTCCAGGGCCCGAGACGGGGAATCTAGGGAGGAAGAGAACAGGCATTCAAGATGGGCAGGAGCACGCCACCTGGAGCCCCCATGATCAGTCCTCCCAAATCTGGACGCTCTAGCATTGCCTTCCCCTCACTGTACCCCGACTCTGTGCTAAGGCTCTCATCATCTACTCAGACACACTGCCACCCCATCACTTCACACACTGTAACCCCCTCACCTACACACACCATCACCCACCTCACACACCATCACCCACCTCACACACCATCACCTCACCTCACACATCATCACCGACCTCACACACCATCACCCACCTCACACACCATCACCCTACCTCACACATCATCACCGACCTCACACACCATCACCCACCTCACACA